TGTGGCGGTGGCTGCTGCCGCCGCCGGTCGCCGCCGCCCGCCTTGGACCGGCCGCCCCCGCCCTTGGCGCCGCCCTTGCCGCCCGCCGCCTGCGCCACCGTCGTCGTCACGCCCGCCGGGTTGGTCTTGCGCCGCACGTTCTTCGTGTTGGGCAGCTTGTTGTCCTTCTTCCACTTCATGCGCCGGTTCTGGAACCAGATCTTGATCTGGCGCTCGCTCAGCACGAGCGTGTGCGCGATCTCGATGCGCCGCCGCCGCGTCAGGTAGCGGTTGTAGTGGAACTCCTTCTCCAGCTCGAGGATTTGGTGGCGCGTGTAGGCCGTGCGCTGCCGCTTGGGCTCCATGCCCGGCTGGTAGGTGCCGTTCGCTGCAACAGACAGGGACCTTCAATAGCCTCGCAGCAGACGAAACACTCTCCCAGTACAAGCTATTTCGTAAATAGAACTTTCTTTGTGACGACGAATCAAAAACAGTTTTGTGATGATGCAAAGCATCGGGAAGCTTGTTAGACACCAGTACACGTATTACACAATATTCGCTGAAACGGATGTGTATGGTAGTGAAGACACTATTACCAGCTACATAGTTCCTAGATTAAAAAATCAATGCAATTTTATGACAAATTTACCTTTTACGAGTTATATTTCTTTCAACTCATGAATATTCACGAGTACATTATCTGTAATGCTATAAAATAAATAAATCGCCTGCTAATTTTTGAGTCTGATTCTGTTACTGAACAATGTTTTGAGTTGCAAGCAGTTAAAATTTGAACACAGGTGATGTTATTTTTCTTTCCCCCTATCGTTTTATATTACATTTAAATAATAAGACTGATATAGATAATACTCCATAATGTATGTATTTTGGACAAATTGCTGTATAGAGTATAATGTTGTAATTGAGACTACGCTAATATTTCCCTATCAGAACAAACCATAGCATTTATCTATGTCAGTGTGTGACGGAAGACCAGAGTATGATATGCGGCAATCCATTCCCTCGCCCCCACGAAAACAGGTGCAATTAACCACCGCAATGGACGTTTCGCGGCAGCATAATTACATCCGTATTACATATGGCGTGGTGACACCTGTTTACAAAAAACCTTTTGACTCTAGAGTTGAAAGTAATTGGGCAAACATTTCCGATGAACATCTTATTACGCAAAAATTTTTAGTCAGTTTTCAGTTTTTGTGCGCGTGTATGAACACGCACGCCTGCGCTCTCACACACACAGCAGCACACATTTATAAAATGTACTAAAAACCTTCTTTATCGAATCTATATAATTACTTATAATACTTATGAAAACAATATGATGAACTCCACAGAAGAAAACAATGACCGAAAACTATTACTATTGTGAGAATGGAATTATACTAAAAAGTATTTTACGTTCGATAGTAGTTTATAGGGTTATTATTTTTTACACATTGTAAAAATTTAAATGAACTGGAATATAATGTAATAAGTTGAGACTTATTGCGACAGTGAAAACAAGAAAACTAGATGGGAAAGTATTATTTCATAGAAACGCTTATCTGTATAAATAATACATTGTGAAGGCAAGATGAAGATCAAGGTAATGCAAATTGATGAGCTTTCTATAGGGCAACTTTCTATAGGAATGGAAACGTAAATAAGCTGCCAGGATCTCCGCATTATAAAGAGATACGTTTTTATGTTGATGCAAATATTGCTTTCGAATATTTTCTGTTACAACATGATACTGTACTCATCCCATAATATCACATATCACAACAAATCCGCGCGTCACCGCGAAGAAACATTACAACACCATCCCGTCAGCTTCTTACACGAGGAGCTGCCAGAGCGAAGCAGTTCGAGTGACCGCCCAGGCGAGTTTCTCCGCGATCGAAAATCGACGCTCGTTTCGTTGGCCGCGCTGCATCCGCCGCCTCCGGCCGAGCGCGCATGCGCGAGACGCTGATGTCGCCGGTAACGTTACACCGATCGCAGAAGGAGAGCAGCTCGACCTGTGACCCCGTGACGTCACCGTCGATCGCGTCGTGCGACTGCGGCCGCGTCGATCTGTTAAGCGAGGAGAGGGATTTTTTTTTTCTTTTCTTTTTTCGTGGCGGCCCGCGCCGCCCCACGCCGCCTCAGGCCTGCTGCCTTTGATGGAGACCCGCCACCGCCGCCGTCGCCCAGGAAACGAAGCAAATGAACGAGGGCCCGCGTGATCGAGCGGGCGCTGGCGGAGGGCGGGCGAGAAGCGGGAGGGCGGCGCGGCGAGGGCGATCGCGCGCGTGCATCAGAGAGGGCGCACACGGTAGGGGTAGACGTGGAGGTGCAGAGTGTGGATTGTCCGTTTGGGCACTGGAATACGAGCATTTGAGGGCGATTCTGCTTCGTAGTAAGCCCGTGGCTGAATAATATGAAGGTCTCTCATCACAACACCCAAACGCGCACCACAGCATTTTATTATGTCATCATTATACAATAGCGAGATACAATACTACGCATTTAGGTGAGTCATTTCGCACGAAAACAACACCCCACAGGTTTCTACTCTTCTATTCGAACAAATGTTTCCTAAGTAATTATTTATATTTTTACGCCAAAATCAGTTAAACTGTGTGTGACGTGCTATGGGGAGAAGTTAATTTGACGTTACATTTATGTTCAGAACAAGGGGCCATATCAGCATTTCTCAAGGATTTTACAGACAAATGCTCCGTTAGTGCACAATAGTTCAACACGCTCCGTTTCTTATGCATTTCATTTCTTCTACAATGTTCAGAGGAATGACCGGCTTGGGTGACTCAAGCCATCAATTGATGTCGCTGCAGTGCCTCTGGCCGTGAGATCACAGATTAGAGTGCAGACGGTGGCACGATTTTCGACACTAGCTAGTGTAGTATAGCAAGATCGAATTCATCCGCTGTCTGGAGAAGGATGCTGTGATCGGTAGTTTTCCGTGGTTTCTCCGATCAACGCCAGATAAATGTCGGAGCAGTACTCTAACAAACGGGCCACGGACCGCGAGCGATTTTTCTTCCTGTTCCTTGTCCTATCGCCACCTCTTACTTACATCTCCATGCACTGCACAACGTGCACTACATCCCGGGAGCTTCGAGCTTGTGCCGGGTGGGAGATTCCTGGTTGGGACCCTCCCTCTGCGTGCAGACTTGTACGTCGGCGCCGTATCTCGCCGTGCGGCGGAGGAAGATCACTCTCGCGATTACAAACACTTGCGAGACTAATGATCTTAGGGATCGCCGCGCTCAAAACCACTAATCAATCACTCCAGAAGATTTTTCTTAAACTGAGTCGAAGCGCTGCGGATATTTCCTAGTATTGTCAAAGGTAAAATTTACTTCTCTCCAATGCCAAAGAGTCATCGATCTCCACTCAACTTGAGGCCTGTGAGCGCATCCGACATTCCATCGTCAGAACCTTAGCCTGGAAGCCAGACGTCAGATTCGCACTGTAACACAGTTTGCAAATGACGTCTATGACCTTGGAGTCCACAACAGCACTTTCAATCTTGCAACTGTGCACAAAGTTACATAACACAGAGGCTGCGAGAATATTGAAGAATTACAAAAAACACTTTCAACGGAAGTCTGAGATCAAAATGGTAAACAAATGATTTATTGCTAATATTATAAGGAACAGTTAAGTGTTTTATTTATCACAAGAAATGACTCACCTACGGATAACTAACTTCATTCCCGTTCCATTGAGTCAACAAGGAAACCATTTTCATGTTCATCAATTGCAGATGTTTTTATGAATTTTTTTATTTATTTACGTTTATTTCCTTTTGCTTTGTTTTATTAAAAGAGAATACAAATTTTTTGTTGTCAGAATTCATTGATGTTTAATGTAGAAGCAAAAATAAAACAAAACAAACTTATTTCCGTTTTTGATACAATGTTACGTGAATGAATCAAAAAGTTAATAGTATTAACTAAGCTCTTCGAGGATGTTACACTTTACAGATGAAAAAGTTAAATGACTTTAACTCGTTTAATTGATGATGAAACCCACAAAAAAGGCCCAAGAGAACTTGTCTATTAGCCATTTCAATGACTTTTCGTTTTCTTTAGAAAAAAAACACATTGATAAATTTTCATTGATGTAAGAAAACGACTTATTTTAAACAAAAGAACATTATTTAACAACAATTACAACGAATTTTCTTGTTATATTATTTCTTAATATTATTTATATTATTTCTGCATTGCCCTGTCCTGTCCTTTGGCTCGACAACCTGATTTGTGTCTTGCGCCAGCGGTAGATTTCTGAATTATTTTATAATAAATCATGATTATAATTAAAATCTGTACATGAATTCAAATCGTGTGTATTTGTTTATCTTTTGTCAAAATCAATAAATAAATAATAAAGAAATTATATTTATGAAATATAGTTTTCTGTAGATCTTTGCAAGATTGAGTAAAAAACAATAAAATGGAATTTTAAAATTAACTTCTCGAAAATTTGCACACACGCAAATATGAAGAAATCATTCTCCCAAAAAATTTTAAATCTCTTCAGGTTCGTAATCCAAAGTTCATTAAAACTGGTTAGAGACCAATCAGAGAGGGTAGACAATATCATTTTGTTTTATTTATTTGTAAACAAATAATGGCCACATTTTTTGGTACTGAGATCAGCATAAAGCCACTCTTCGTACCACCTGCCTCTCCATTCATGACATTGGCGCCTAAGTCGTACGCAGTAGTTTGTCTAAAATGTGCATTGTCCAATCAATTTGACCTCTCTCAAGATCCTGCTCATTTTTATACAGATATTTTAATTAATAGAGGTTCTATATTTACTTGATGACCCTTGGAGATTTTCAATTTATTTTTTTAAAATGTCTCCATATTTTCTACAAATTTGTTGCTTGAATATCACCAAGTATGCTCTAACTACAATTACAGTATTGGAGATAGAAATTTCTTTAACAAATACTTATTCTTTGTAATTGGATTTTTAAATAAATTGGATGTACAGTTTTTCCAAACTATTAATAATTCGCGAAATTTTGAGTGAAATGGACTTAAATGTGTGCGATTCTTGCACCAATTGTTACTTAAATTGAATGTTAACAACATAATTGTTACATGTTGGATATAAAGAGAGTACACACAAGAATAATATTTTTGATGACCTCAAGCTGAAGGAGTCCCATATCTAATACGTTCATTTGTTTTCTGTGATTTTAAGTTTGATTAGTTTGTGAGATTAAAACTAGCTGAACTTTAACATTTGCGAACTTTTAAAGTATACAAAATTATACAGTATAGGTAGTATCGTTAAGTTAATAGGTTATAAACAACCGCAGGAAATTGACAAACGAATACTTCAATACATACTTACGTACACAGCCATTATTAGATTCATAATGCTTTGTTTATCCTGTCAGAATGAATGCAGTAAGCTCAAATATCCATAAATAACATGTATCACACGGCAAATTCCCAGGAACTTTAACCAACGTTCGCGAGTTCTTCAGAAGCAAGCATATCCATAAAGAAACTCAACTAAAACTAATAAATGTTTGCATTCCCCAACTTTTTATAATAATGTATCATTCATGCCACGCCTAAACTACAACAACCTTGGAAGAATACCCAGAAATAAGATCAGAATCAAAAATATATTTGCCAAACCTACGTTTTATACGTATACAATTTTCTAATCTGGATCTTTTTTGTCTTGTGGTACTACTCAGGGCGTTTACACTAACTAAAAAAGTAGTTTAGAATTTTAAAATAGCTGATAAGCCTAAAAATGTGTAAAAAATATACTTTTAAAACGACTGAAACGTGTAATTATCATATTAAATAAATTTAAAAAGTAACTTTTATTCTGTCAGTGGTAGGTCTCTTTAAAATATTACGGACTCTAATAAATTGGACGAAAATGGCTTGTATTATCCATTTTAAAGTATTATTTAAAACTATTCATAATAGAACGTCACTTACATTCTAATTCACTTTATACTATTTACACATACTTATAAACTCACGTAACTTTCGAAATATTAGTTTCTAACATAAACAGTTTTTCTCTATTGTTTTTGCACGGGTGTTCTACGAGTATCAAGATAATAAATAGGTTGTATATATAAATATTTTTTCACAACATTTATCATCGCAAGTATAATAAATTTAAATTAGGTTTTTTTATGATGTAAGTTTTGTTTTCTAGTTCGGTAAAAATTCTAGTACAGCATAATGATGTCTTTATTATTTTTTTAAATGTGTTGATTTGTTTCGACGCTTTCATTTTCTATATTCTTGTGCTCTATTTTCAATATAGATTCATTAATTAGAAATATAATGAATATCATGAAATATTACGGAAATTAGAAGTATTAGAAAGTGATGTTTATACGGAGAATGAAAAAAGGGAAACTGTGCTAGTTACGAGGCAACTCTTTTCCCAACGCAGAGGTCGCTTGTAGGCTCAGGCGCGGAGCATTTTAAGCCTATGCGGCCGCAAATGGCCGCGATCCTCTCCAAACTTTCAACTTCTACACATGCTACACAACGTTTGTATTTGATATAGGTGTTGTGGTGTGATATCTTTGGCATTTTTCATAAAATAATTAAAGACGTTGTCATTGCCAACAATATTATTTAATGTAAGAGCAGCTTTCGATGGCTTAGCCATCATCATCAGTTGTCTGCTGGATGGAAGCCACAAAAACGACTACTTTTACGTTTGTACTTGAACTGAGAAGATTCCCAATCTCATTAAAATTGGTAGATATTATATGTTACAATACGATACTCGTAGTAAACAAAAGTTTTTTCAGAAAGGCATAAATCACAAAATACAAATAGGGTTTATTGTATTTAAAATTCAATTATTTAACGATAAAGTTGATTTTTTATTGTGTAGTATGAATTCAACAATAACAAGAAACATACGAAAATAATTTTTAATCTGAATTAATAAAATAAAAACACAACGTGAAGGAAATTAAGCAAATAAAGCGTTTTAGGAATAAAATTTCATTGTGATTGAAAAAGTATAATTTATAGTATAAAATGGGGAGAGGACGGAAATTAAATTATTATTAGAGGAAAATAATCGTTTAACATTCGATATATTTGTTGTATTAATAACAAGTCATTCTCCATGCAAATGCGAGTACTTACATACAAATATGTAACCAAAAATTATGCTTTTTCATGTAACGAATTTAATTATTTCTACCATTTAATTTAATTTTACATACATCACTGACACACGTGATTTTCCCGATCGGTAGACTCCGCACTTCGGTACCACGATTTCAGAATATAATGTTTCACAACATAACAGATCTTGAATTATTTATTATTACTATTATTATTATTACTATTATTATTATTATTATTATTATTATCTTCTTCTTCTTCTCCATTTCAGGGATTAGGCAGAAGTGCCTGTTCCGTCTTCGCTCTGCACATCAGGGACCATCTCTTTCTGGGTCGCGATAAGTCTCTTCTTTTCACAGTCATCCTTCGGTTGCGTAGTTTCATCCACTAATTGTGCGAATACATCTCCTCCATTTCTTTCGATTTATGGCGCGCCATTCTTTTTACTGTTTTCTACGATCCTTTCATTTATGTCTGTATATATCTTAGTTCTTTACGGATGTCCTCATTACTTATCTGGTCTTGGTTTAATGCAGCCTTTAACTTTCCTAAGAAATCTCCATTTCTGCTGCTTGCGGAGCTACTTTGGTCTCTTTTTTTCTTATCATCGATTCACTACCATACAGGAGAACTGGAGCAGCCATTGTCTTATAGAAACTTCATTTTTTGTGTCTTTCCTTGCTTTGTTCTGTAGTGTTCTGTTTATTATTCCACATTATTGATTGAAATTTATTAGTTTTATTTCTATGTCTTTATCTGTGTCATAACAATGTTCCACAACTAATGTCACAACAAGGTAAAATTTAAAATTTGAAGTCTGGTCGATCCAACTGTGTTTGTCAATAACCTATTTTGAGCGTTGGGGTATTTACCGCAATTGCGGCCATAACTTTAGTCTTCGTTTTAAATTCGGAGATTATACTCTTTTCTTCCCAGTTGATGCATTGTGTATAACAGCTTTTTGCAGATCATCTTCACTTTCTTGCAGTATTGTAACGTCATTCTGCATAAAGTAGAACGTTTAGGTTTTATTCTGCTTTCAACTGTATTCCCAGAAACTAGCTATGCATCTCCATTTTTTTAATAAGGTCATTTTCAAATATATATATTGAATAGTGTGGAGATAAACTACATCCTTGTTAGTCCCCTATTTATTAATATTTCTTCAGTTCTTCCTTTATGCCAAGTATTATTATAATTTTGTCCTCGCGATACATATTTTTGATGGTTTTTATGAGGTGTTCAGGATAGCCACTTTCGTTCAATTATGTTTCCATAGCTTGTGTCTTGTCCACGCTATCAAAACTTTCCGAGTCAATAAAGGCTATATGGTTTCCTTTATTTACTTCTCGTCGTTTTTCGTCAAGAATCTTCTAATATCTTTTTAGACCTAAAAATGTTGTTCGTTACAAAGAAGCGTCCTTTCCGAAATCCGATTGTTCTTTTCTTGTAATTTAGCCTCTGCTATAATTTCAAATCGAAGCGTTGATTAATTTTTTGCAAATATTTTTTAAGCGGCATTCAATGAGGCTGTAGTTTCCCCTGTAGTTCCACATTCATTTCTTCTACCTATTTTTAAAGATAGATAGACCTCTGTTATTTTCCCAGGCTTGGGTATCTTATAAGTATTTCCAGCAATTTCGTTGAAACAGATGAAGCCAGTCTAAATTCGCTTAGGGGCCTGCATATTTGTGAGTTCCTGTTAACTCCATTAGGACCACATGCCTTCCTGTTTTTATACTGTTTCAAGGGCTTGTTTAATTCATCAAGGAAGAGGGAATCCACTGTATTGTTGTAGCGAAGCTCTTCCTTCTTTAGGTTCAACAGTTCCAGTACACAAAGGTTTTATATAGTGTTCCTTCCATTGTTCTTCATTGATTATGGTATATCTGCCAACATCTTTCTCCGTCTGATTTAAATGTCTTTAACGCTTTGTACGCGAAACAATGCTTCCATGGTATTCATGTTCGATGGGCTTATAAATCTATCCATGAGTCGTTATGTGCAGGATCTTATTATTTGTTTAGCGTTATTCCTTTTTGTTTTATTTCTTCTTTTGCTTCTTGGTTTTGTTTGGAAGGAATTTTTTATTTGATATATCCTTTATCTTTTTTGGGCTTCGCTATACAATCGTTCCATACTCTCCAGTCCCTTTCTTTTCTTTGCTTTTTTTTCTTTACCTAAAGTTTCATATTGCTCCCTCTCTATGCATTCCTTTATATTTCTGCCATTCCGAGATCCACATCATCAACAGTTGGAATACTTGACAGAAATTGTTGTAATTGGATTGATATAGTCTTTTTATGCTTTCTTGTTCAAGTAAGGTACACTTTGAAATTTCCTGACTTGTCTCTTTCCTTGTCTAATTTTCTTCCAAATTTATGCCTTACCATTTGCTATTGTTGCAATCACTAAGTAGTGGTCTGAATATATATCACATCCTCGGTTGTACTTGTACATTCTCTATTTAGGTTACTAATTTTGATCATTTTGCGATTACATAATCTCATCAGTGAGTTGAGGCCTCTGGCACCCAGGTGAATTGTGTATTTCTTTTTTCCTTGAAAAGGTACATGCAATTTTCAACTTGTTTGAAGGCTGCAAACTGTCTTAAGTTCTTTCTCCGTTTTTATTTAAGTTGCTGTTCTCCAAATACCCCGACAACTCCCGGAATCGGAATGTTACCAAACCCTGGCGTTTAGGTCGCCACAGACGAGGACATAATTATTTTTGTTTATTTTGCTTATTTGTTTTTGAAGATCGTCATAAAAACGTCCGTGTGCCTCTTTCCTTCCTTCTTCTGGGGCATACACGCCTATTAGTATTAAGTGGCCCTCTCTATTTTGAATTTGCACGTCACAATTCGCTCATTTACAAAGGAATACTCCACTATCCTATTTTTCCACCTCTTTGTTAACCATAATTGCCTACCCCACTACTTGCCCGTCATATTTGAGTTACTCCACAGTAGATCATCGTATAATGTTTCATATCTTTAGTACCTTTTCAGCTTTTTTTGGTTTCCGTTATCACAGCTATATCTATTCCTTTTTTCGTTTAGTTTGGTATCTAGTTCTTCTTCTTTATTACCTAGCCCTCTGACATTCCAGGTAGCTAGTTTCAGTCGTCCCGTAATACCGATCGTTTATCCTTGACATGCTTAAGTTCGTTTCCATGATCCATCCAGTTGTGCATTGTGAAGAGAGCCAGTAGTTATTGAATTCCCTGGCCGCGTTACGA